CTGGCGGCTGGTTTTTCCCTCTCTGCCCCGCCGGGGGTCTCTCTGCTTCTGTCTCTAACTGTATCTCCACGTCTCTGTGTCTGTGTCTTTTCTTTGCCTCCATCGGTCTCTCTCATTCTTCTCCCCTCATTCTGTGTCTCTGTCTCTGTCTCTCTCCATCTTTATTCCGCTCGCTCAGCGTGTGTCCCTGTCTCTCGCCCTCCCCGCTCTAGCCTGCCATCTCCCTCCGACCCGTCTCTCCGCATCTATGTCGGGCTCCCCTTCCCTCCCGGAGCCTCCGCATCCCCCCTCCCCTCCGGCTCTCCCGCCCGGGCCTCCCCTGCTGCTGCTGCTGCTGCTCCTCCTCCTCCTCCTCCTCCTCCTCCCCTCCCCGCCTCTCCCTCTGCAGGTCTCTGCCTCCCCCTCCTGGTCAGCGGCCCTCACCGCACCCCAGTGTCTCCCAGGGGATCCCCGGCCGGGTTAAGGCAGCCCCTGGCGGAGGCCGGAGGGGAGCACAGGGCGAAACCTCCCCCTTCACAAGGAGGGAGGAATCGAGTGAGCGGGTGTAAACTTCGATGAGCGCACATACGTGAGACGGGTATGGACTGGCTGTCATTCTCCCACTGAGGAGAATTTATAGTGTGGGTGTGTTTTCTAAAACGGAGAACCCCTGTGGGCCAGCAATCTTCTTTCTCAATTGCATTTGTATGCACACACACACACACACACACACACACCCCTACCTGCCCGAGGCGTGTTCGCTGCTGTGAGAGCACCCGCCCCCCAACAACCACAAAAAAAAAAAAAAATTAAATAACGCCGAGAAAGGGAGGGGGAGGAGGGAGGAAGGGACAAGAGAGAAGAGAGAGACAGAGAAACAGAAGAGGCAGGAGAGGAGGAGGAGGGAGAGAGAGAAGCTTGCAGGGGGGAGAGAGGAGGTGAAGAGGGAGCGAAGGGAAGAGGAGGCAGGAGCAGAGAAGGGGAGAGGGAGGAGGAGGAGGAGGAGGAGGAGGAGGATGGGGACATGGAGTTAGGTGGCCTGGGGGAGCTTCATGAAAAGAGCCAAGAGGGGGTGTGGATTAGCAACCGAGAGGCAACCTCGGGGAGAAGCAGAAGGCAGAGAGAGGGGTAGAGAGATCAGGAGGCAGCGGGAGACTGGCGGGCTGGGGGAAGGCGAGGAAGGAGGAGAGACACCGAGGGGAGGAGAGGAGTGGGTTGGGGGACCTCCGTCCCTGGCTGGCTTGGCATTTGGGGGGTCCGGGACTCCCTGTGGGGAGAAGAGGAAGGCTGGAAGTCCTGGAGGGACAGGGTCCCGCCGTGAAGAGAGGGAAGAGCCGAGAGAGGGGCCGGGCGCTGGGAAGGGGTCGCCCAGAGGCCTCCCGGGGATGGGCGGTGCAGCCAGTCTGAGCGCCCCTCGAGCGCTGGTACTCTGGGCTGCACTGGGGGCGGCAGGTAAGGCCTGGGGGTTGGGGCAGGAGCCCCGAAGGGAGGGGCGGGGCGGGGCGGGGGGGCCAAGGAGAGGGGGTCAGGCGGCTCTCTCCGCAGCTCACATCGGACCCGCACCTGACCCCGCGGACTGGTGGAGCTACAAGGAGAATCTCCAGGGAAACTTCGTGCCAGGTGCAGCCAGGGAGGGGGCCCAGCAGTCCAGGCCGCGGCACCTCCTTCCTGGGACCCGGAACCCTCTCCTCCCTGGGAGTCCCAGCCCCTCTCCTCCTCCCCCAGGAGTCCAGCCCAGCCTCTGAACCCCAGTGGCTCACCATGGGACATTATACATGCGCATTTCAAGTAGTGAGTGGGAGTGAGTGGAAGGAGAGCGTGTGGGGGTGGAAGAGTGTGTGTGTGTGTGTGTGTGTGTGTTTGCAGGGAAGAGGCAGGCAGGTCCTGGCTCCCGCTGGCAATCAGAGGTTCAGGGGCCCCCTCCCCTGCCGGGTCCAGCCCTCTCTTGCAACTCCTCTCCCCGGTACATTATTACCCAGCTGTGCTGCAGGGGAGACTGAAAGAACTACAACTCCCATAGGCACGGGGGCAGTCTGGCATTGGACGAATAGGCTGGCAGCCCTAGAGCCTGCTGGGAGTTGTAGTTCCTTCTTCCAATGACTTCATTTAAGATAGGTTTGATCACCGACAGGATTGGAGGTGTTAGAGAAGCGGTTCTCAACCTGTGGGTCGCGACCCCTTTGGGGGTCGAACGACCCTTTCACAGGGGTCGCCTAAGACCATCGGAAAACACATATATAATTACATATTGTTTTTGTGATGAATCACTATGCTTTAGTTATGTTCAATTTGTCATAATGAAATTGGGGGTCACCACAACATGAGGAACTGTATTAAAGGGTCGCGGCATTAGGAAGGTTGAGAACCACTGTCTAGAAGGTCTTAAGAAACTCCTCCAGGATTCTTCTAGGACCCAGGATTCTGGATCCCAGCTCCTCCCTCAGACCCAGGAGTGCAGATTCCTAGCCCTTCCTCTCCTGGGATTCAGGAGCCCAGACCGCGGCCTTCTCAGCAGATGCCAACATTGGGATCCAGTCCCCATTTCTGACTCCCTTTCCTCCCTGCCCTGCCCCTGCCCCTGCCCCCAGGGCCTCCCTTCTGGGGCCTGGTGAACGCAGCCTGGAGTCTGTGTGCAGTGGGGAAGCGGCAGAGCCCCGTGGATGTGGAGCTGAAGAGGGTTCTTTATGACCCCTTCCTGCCCCCACTGAGGCTCAGCACCGGGGGAGAGAAGGTAAGGGGCCTGGTGGGAGGGGTTGCCAAATCCACTGCGGTGGGTGTGCGTGGAGGCGGGGGTGGGACACTGAGGTGGGAGGCCGGCCTTGGGGAAGAAGGGGTGCACGCTGGGCGGAGAGGCCCCTTCCACCCTAAAATGGATCACCTGTTCTTTTCTCCCCACACAGGGCTCACTAGTCTCCCCGTCTCTATAGAAGCAACGGTAAAACAGGTTTCCCGTGCCAGGCATTGTCTCAAAAGCTTGTTAAACCCTCTAATCCTCACAGCAACCCCGTGATATAGGTGCTGTTATCCTTATTTTACGGATGCAGAAACTGAGGCACAGAGAGGTTAAGTTATTTGCCCGAGGTCACACAGCTAGAGTGCCAGCGCTGGGATTCAGACCCAGGCAGCCTTGTCCCAGCAATCTATGCTTGCTTCTTGCCCGCTTTGCAACACCATCTCTTATAAAGGCCAGCACTGTCCTTCGCTCACCTGCCCCAGCTAAAAGCCTCGGAGCCATTTCCCGTCCTGTTCTCTCCCTCATTCCCATTTCCACTGTGTCCTTTCAGTCTCCCTGCTGAATAACATTCAAAGCTTTTCACTTCTTGTCGCCTCCACTGCCCCCATGAATGTCTTGCAGCTGGACTGGTGCCCTGGCCTCCTCGCTGGCCTACCTCTCCGCCTCCTGCAATCCATTCTCCACCCCACAGCTAGAGAGATGTTTAAAAACACAAACCAGATCATACCTCCCCTGTTCAAAATCCTTCTATCGGCATAAGTAATAATAGCAATCACTTGCCTGGTGTTGTGCCAAGTAAGTGTGTATATATATATAGTTTAAATAAAAATACAAAATGCCCCATCTAGCTCTCATCACCATTCTCTCCTTTGCTCATGGCTCTAGTCCCACCGGCCTCTTCGCTGTCACTAAAATAGTCCACCTCGGGGCCTTTGCACTTGCTGTTCCCTCTTCCTGGAACGCCCTTCTCCCTGCTCTTTGCAATGAACCCCTACTTACTTTTCAGGTCTCCATTCAAATATCACCTCCTCATGGAAGCCTTAGCAGACACCGCCCCGCCCACCCCCTACACACCCATCTAGGCCAGATTTCCCATTATACTTTCCCAGCACGAGAACAGGATGTAATTAATTAAGCAGTTACTCATGTGAAATCAGTATTTGTTGTCTGTCTCTGCCCAATCAGAACATAAGCTCCATGAGGCCCAGGAGTTTTTGTCTACTTGTTCATCGCTCTCTTCCTGGCATCCATGGCACATAGTTGCGACTCAATAAATATTTAATTAAGCAAATTCACCAACACTGAGCACCTACTATGGACCAGCACACAGCCTGGAAAGTCGTAGGTGCTCAAACTATGCTGAATGGTTAAGTGATTGTTGGAAGCAGGAAATGTAGGAGCGGAAATGGGGGGAAAGAGATCTCTCTGTGTCCCATGTCGTCTTCCGTCTCTCCCACAGCTCCGGGGAACCCTGTACAACACCGGTCGCCACGTGTCCTTCCTGCCTGCACCCCGGCCCGTGGTCAATGTGTCTGGGGGTCCCCTCCTTTATAGCCACCGACTCAGTGAACTGCGGCTGCTATTTGGAGCACGTGATGGAGCAGGCTCTGAACACCAGATCAACCACCAGGGCTTCTCTGCTGAGGTGCTGGCCACCGACCTCTGACCCTTGATCCTTGCCCTGAGTCACCCTCACCCTCTTCTTGCCTCACCACATCCTCCCTACAGAACTGCCCCCCTGCACTAATCCTTAACCTGACTTGGGACCCCCCCCCCCAAAGGCCCAGAGCTGCACCCATTCTCTCCTCCTTCTGCTGGGGAACCCCACTCCCTGTGTTGCCCTCCCAGGTGCAGCTCATCCACTTCAACCAAGAACTTTATGGGAACCTCAGTGCTGCCTCCCGGGGCCCCAATGGCTTGGCCATTCTCAGCCTCTTTGTCAATGTGAGTCCAGGCAAGATTCGGAGGGAGGGAGGGAGGGGCTGGGCACCTGGAATCTGGGGTCTGAGGAAGAGGGAGGCTGGGAGGCCCAGACTCCTGGGTATTGGGGGAGGAAGGGCTGGAGGGCTTGGACTTCTGGGTTCCTCCCTCCTCACCTCACGTACCCCCGTACCCCCACACAGGTGGCTGGCAGCTCAAACCCATTCCTCAGCCGCCTCCTTAACCGTGATACCATCACCCGAATCTCCTACAAGAGTAAGTCCGTGGTGCTTTAGTGGGGGTGTGCACATGAGGGGGAGCTCAAGTGGGGAACCCTTTTTTAAAAAAAATATTTTTATTGATTTCAGAGGGGAAGGGAAAGGGAGAGAGAGATAGAAACATCAATGATGAGAATCATCGATCAGCTGCCTCCTGCACGCCCCACACTGGGGACCAAGCCTGCAACCCAGGCATGTGGCCCTGACCAGAATCGAACCCAGGACCCCGCAGTCCGCAGGCCGGAGCTCTATCCACTGAGCCAAACCAGCCCGGGCTGGGGAACCCTTCCTCACTCCGGCGTAATATGCCCGCAGATGATGCCTACTTTCTCCAAGACCTGAGCCTGGAGCTCCTGTTCCCGGAATCCTTCGGCTTCATCACCTATCAGGGCTCTCTCAGCACCCCACCCTGCTCCGAGACTGTCACCTGGATCCTCATTGACCGGGTCTTGAATATCACGTCCCTCCAGGTGACCCTCTAGCCACCCTCCTTCCCGAGGTTGACTGGAAACTCCAGGGGGTCAGATCACACTTGGGGCTGGGGTGGAGCTGAGCAAGGCCCCTCCGATCGGCTCCCAGGGGCGGGGCTTCCCGTGTGACGTCACCAGGACCCTTCCCCCCCCTGGTAGATTCACTCCCCGTTTCCTACTCCTCTCCCCTCTCTTGGCAGATGCACTCCCTGAGACTCCTGAGCCAGAATCCTCCATCCCAGATCTTCCAGAGCCTCAGCGGTAACGGCCGGCCCCTGCAGCCCTTGGCCCATAGGGCCTTGAGGGGCAACAGGGACCCCCGGCACCCCGAGAGGCGCTGCCGAGGCCCCAACTACCGCCTGCATGGTATGGACCAATCTGCACCCCCACCACCACCACCACCACGTCTTGGTCTAACCCGCCTATGTGTCTCCCTACGGTGTGTCAATATGATAAAGTCCTACCCTCCTTTGCTGCTTCCGTATGGTCCAGCCTCCTGAGTTCTCGCTCGCTCTTACTCCCTCCTCCCTATGTGTCCACGTGCTACAGTCCACCTCCCTACCATAGACCATTGCTGGTCCATGATTTGTCTTTCCTCTCCACTGCTTGTAACGTGCAACTTGGTATATAACCCGACACCCCTGGCTTCTTTGTGGTACGGTTACCTATGGGTCTGTGGGTTCCTCTTCCAAAGCGGTGGAATCCGGATCCATTTCCGGTTCCCACGTGGTGTAAACCCTATGCTGTTCCATAATCTGACAGCTCCCCCCCCTTTCCTGAGAATCAATATGGTTCAATCCCCTTCCCTTCCTACTTCCTCCGTTCCCTCCAGCCCTGAGATCTAAACGGCCACCTCTCTGGCTTCTCTACATGGTACAGTCCAGGGGCTCCCCCCCGCCCCCCCTTCAGGAATACCTTCTGGTAGTTCAGCCTGATGCTGACACTGAGCGTCCCCATGCCACCCTCCTGCCGCCTCGCTGCGGCTCACCCGACTGCCGGGCCATGTCTACCAGCTTCTCCACCTGGTACATTCGGTCCCCCCTTCTCAGCCTCCCGGTGGTAGAGCCCGACCGGCCCCGACCCCGCCCCCTGCACAGCCCAGGCGACTGTGCCCGCAAGTAACGTCCTCCATCGGTATCGTCTGTCTTGCAGTGGATGGTGCCCCCCACGGTCGCTGAGGCTCCCCACCGAGGATTGCGCCTGCCCTTCCCAACCCTACCCAAGAAGGGAGGGGAGTCACCCCCAAAACAAAGCTATTAAAGGGACAGAATACTTCCTGTTTCTCAGTGGTCTGATTCGAGGCGCGGCCGGGGATTGGAGAATAGCCCCCTTCTTCTAGAAACCCATCTCCCGTCTTCCTGAACCCCGCTATTGGGGTTTTTGACTTCCTAATTCCCCAAACAACCGTTTGGATATGCGGCTCCATTAAGCGGCGCCTCTCCCACCCGCCCCCACCCCTTACCCACTCCGCGGGTCAGGCAGCACGCGCAGAGCCATGTGCTTCCTCCTCCCGCCTGCCTCATTGGCTCGAACTGGGTCACGGTCCCGCCCCCAGCGCCGTCTCCCATTGGCCAAATGTAGGTCAGGGTCCCGCCTCCCACGAAAAGGCGGGGCAACTTCACGCCCCGGGCCCCTCCCGTATCCCGGGCCTTGGCGGAGCCACGGCTCCCATTGGCTGAGCGTGCCGAGGGGTAGGGACGCGATTGGCCCGCGCTTTCAGCCCGAGGGAGGCACGCGGCTGGGGTGCATGGCCCCAGAGACGGGCGGGGCTGGGCGGGCGCGGGCGGGGGCCGAGAGGAGGGGTGCTCGCTGTGGCGTCGGGTGTTTTGGTTTGGCTTTTTTTTTTTTTTTTTCCGCGAAAGAAGTTTGCTTTGGCCACGCCTCAAGGCTGCCGCCTCCTCCTGCCCCCTCCCCCGCCCCTCTGCGCTCACCTCTTGGTGCAGATTGCAAAGCGCCTTCCGTTGAGAGAGCTGCAGATTTTGCAAGAGCCAGGCTCGCCCACCTTGTGGAAGGAGCGCCTTGAGTCCCCTTCAGCCCTCCGTTGCAAAGAGCTGGCCGTCGGATTTGATCCTCCCCTCACCCAGACTGCATGGTCTCCCGGGACCCTCTAGAGTTGCACGTTTCTGCAGCGAGGACTGCAAATCCCCGTCGCTCCTAGGATTTGCACTGTTCTGGATACTGGAATCTTGCAAGCTACGCTCGCCCGCCCCTGGGCAAGACACTCGCCCGAACCACAGGACTGTACCGCTGACGGCAGGCCAGCTCTTCGCCTCTCCATGAGCCCGTAAGCCTGCGGGCAGGTGCCCGGCGATGGCGCGGCCCGTGAG